AGCTTTTACATTTTAACCAATTTTTATAACATAACTTCTTATATTTTTTCTTTTCTTGCACATTATTATTCCACCACCAACTATTTTTATTTGTAAATATTTTTCCCTTTGATTCTCCAAGAACATCTTTTGCTACATGTTTAATAGCGTTTGTTACTTTATCCCACATCACATTTGCTTCTTCATGAATATCCCAAATTTTGAAATCTTGAATTTTACTCATAAAATTAATTTTATTTTTATCTTTTAAGTTTCTCCATCTAATTCTGCAATGATGAGTCCTAGTATTTTTTATTTTACAACTCTTAATCTTAAAATCTAAAACTAATAAACGATGTTGGGTATTTAAATTTTCACTTGGAATGACTTTACAATCTTTACAATCACGACGATCTCTTCTTCTCATAAGAAAATAATCAATTTGTGTTTTATTAGATCCACTCTTATAAGTAATAAGATGTTCATCCCTTTTCTTGAATAAAGTATTAGTAATAACAAAATCAAACGCTAAAGCAAAATCTAAAATAACTTTACCTTCTTCATTAGTTACTCCAAAACCGTAGCCACCATGAATATTTCTGAAATCTTCTACCACTCTACCGACATGTCCATTTAAATCTCCTCCAATAAAAATTCTTTCTTCAAGAGGTATCATTTGTATTAAGTCTTCTAAGTCATTCCAAAATTTATCTTTAGACTCTGTATCTAAACCTACTTGAGGAGCATAAACACTTATAATATTAAAAATCTTAGTATCAATGATAATCTTAAGGGCTATAATTCTATCACCAACTCTATTAATTTTTACAACATTATCTTTCAAACTCTTATCTATAATTACACCTACACCATTTCTAGTGCGACTCTTACCAGAATACCAAAGTTTAAAACCTAAATTATCAATCTCCTTAGCCTTTTCTCCCACCCACTTAGTTTCTTGAATACATAAGATATTAATTTTCCTATGAATCATAATATCAACTAATTCCATTAATTTACCATTGAGAGTGCCTATATTCCAAGATCCTATCCTAATATTAGTTTCATTAGTTTCATGGACTAACTTCTTTACCCGCATTCGCCCGTAATGTGGGAACCCTTGCTTATTTAACACTACACCCGGGCGCCGGTGTAGCGGCCCTTGCACACTTTTCACTGTATTCAGGCTATACAGCGCGTCGATATATATTTATTTATTTATTTATTTTCGAGTCAATTCGAGCTGAACACGAGCGATCAAATTTTTGTTCGTGTTCGGCTTGTTAGGCTTAACGAACGAGCCGAACGAGTTGTTCGGGAACAACGAGCCAATTTGACAGCCCTAAACTCGCATATCAAGGAATTGTTTGCCTTGAAGGTGCATAATAATCTAGCTGACATGCTTAATGTTATAACTTGATCTCATATGGCATAAACTTGATTTTCTTAACTACTAGACTAATATATTGCAAATTCAAAATTTTCAGCAAATTTTGTGAATATCATTTCGTAATCCATTGCCTTTAACCAAATCTAGTGTAGTGCAGATGATCCCATAAAGATATTTTATGATACTTATGTTCTTCAACCAGTATATCTGTCGGAAACCTGGCGAACTGCTGCTCTTCTGGTTTGGATTGTGGCCCTTTATTGGTGGCCGACATTCGTTGTCTTCCCGGTAAGGATTCTCATTTTTCTACTATTCTCTTTGTAATATACTTATTACAGTGGGATAAAATTTAATTCCGGTTTTTCATTCCAGGAATGGAGGGTGGTCCAGTTTTTGACAGGCATGCCTCCCTTGCTGGTATTCTTACCAAGCCTTTAAGACAAAAAGGGAGCAATGCAGAAATCCAGGTGGAAAAAAAAAGCCGTTGAATCTCAGAATTTTGTAGTTTTTTTTTTTTTTTTTTTGAGAGGAGGCATTTACATACAGACCTCCCAATTCTTATGTATTTACATATCTAACATCTATAATTTTTACATTTATACCAACCCAATCTTTCATAGCACGTCAAAAATACCATCATTCGAACTTTTGAAAAGTTAAATACACACGACGTGTATGTAAGAATTGGAATTTAGGTGTTAGCTATGTAAATAAGTAGGAATTGAGTGGAATGTGTGTAAATCTTCCTGCTCTTTTATCCAAATATTATTTCTTAGGCAGCAGTATATGCCCTTGATAACAGTTCGCAGTTGCTTGGAATGCAATAGCTAGCATAGATACTAAGAGTCTGCCAGAATCTCAGAGTACTCAGTTTGGAGAGATTGGAAGAACCGCATATAAAAATAATATGGCTTCATCAGACGAATCTACTGATTATGAATCGCTGAAATATTTGATTAGAAGACCTGTAGTTTTTTCTCCTTCATCTTCTTCCCTGGAAAGGGCCATCTCTTCCGTTGTGCTGATTGCAGTAGGGGAGGGATCATGGGCTTCAGGTATTGTTCTCAACAAAAGTGGCCTCATACTCACAAATGCTCACACCTTGGAACCATGGAGATTTGGAAGATCTCGGCTGGGTTCCATTGAGAAAGCTTTGTCTGTCACGGAACCAGGGATTCATCGTCCATCAAGATTGGGAAGTTCTGACAATGGCGATGGAAAACCCTTTCCAGAATTTGGACACCATAGTTCTAGAAGAATATCCATTCGTGTAGATTTTATGGAACGAAGAGAGTGGTATAGTGCTCGAGCAGTTTATGTCTCAAAAGGACCTTTGGATATTGCCTTGCTGCAACTTGAATCTGTTCCACCACATCTTTTGCCAATTATCCCTCAGTTTACCAGCCAGTCTGTAGGTTCAGTTGTTTATGTGGTTGGTCATGGTCTCCTCGGACCCCGGTCTAGTGAGTATTTTTACTTTATTCTGCTTATCAACAGAGAAAGTATTCTTATGTAGTTTTGTTCATACTGATGCGCTTCTTTTTTACAATGTTTTGATGATTTCAGATGTTTCATCATCTGTTTCGTCTGGAGTTATTTCAAATATTGTCCTGATTCCCGGGCCAGTTCTCAAAAATGGATCCAGCAAAGCAGAAGCAAGGAGAACAAGCTTGCCAGTAATGCTACAAACTACTGCTGCTGTTCATCCAGGAGCCAGCGGTGGAGCTGTTGTTAATTCAAATAGTCACATGATTGGACTTGTAACAAGGTATGATAGCTAAGGGGCTGTTTGGGATTACTTTTGTTTCTTATTTTTTATTTTTTATTTTTTATTTTGTTGTCTTGATGTTTTGATTTGAAATAAAACATATTAGACATATTTGATTAAGATATAATTATTTTTATAAACACACTAATCATTTAAAAGTTATTTTGAGATGTTTATTTAGTTTTAGAAACAAAGAATAATTTTATATATAAAAAACATGCTAATCAGACATGTTTTTGGAAACAAAAGAAAAAAAATGAAAACAAAAAACAAAATTGCTCCAAAACAAACCAAGTTTTCTCTTCCTTGAAATTGGATCACAAACACGACATGCGCACAAAGCAGGAATTTAACAAATATATGTAGAACTTACATGAAGATAATATGAATGATGGCATGTGTAGAAATCTCTTAAAACATCTCTTTATTTATAATTTTACTTGTACCAAGAGGAGTATAATAAATCTATAACCTAAGAAATCAATTTCTTCAAGAATATAAGTTGCATGCATTATTTAAGGCAATGGCACAATGACACTCCGTCTTGATTGGAGGCAAATTCGATTCCGAATACGAAACGGAATTTTAAAGTTAGCACGTTGCTTGCCCACTTTTTATCACTCTCAGTAAGAAGAATGTCATTGATATGGATAACTTAAAATAAAAAATAAGGTGCGATGACTGACTTTAGGCAAAAGATATAGCGAGCAGTTGAATTAGGGTGTGTTTGGGGCAGCTTATTGTCTGCGGCGGCGTTGTTAAAATGCCGCCTATCCATTTTTTTAGGGCATTCGGGCGGCATTTTCAAAATGCTGCCCTTTTTTCTTTAATAAACGTGGTCGCGGGAATCACCCCACGGCCTGCGGCCCGCGTTTCTTTGCTAATTTTTACCCTGCAGCCCTCGTCTCTCTCGCGTCGCTTCTCTCTGGTGTCTCGTCTTGTCTTGCGATCCCTTCTCTCTCGCGAGATACAATCGCCATAATAGCTAGCTGGGAAGGCAACGAAGGGATTGCAGCTTACAGAGACCACCGAAACTCCCATCTTTCTCATCCTTCTGCTCCGCTCCGACTAGAAACCCTTGAAGAAGGTAAGCCTGTTCGCACCCTACTTCCTCTTCGTTCGTCCCGGATTTATCGCGAATCGGCGATCCACAGGATTTATCGCGAATTGGCGCCATTTAGGGATTTACTGCATTTTTTTGCTGGTTGGCTTTTTGAGGCTTCCATAATTTGAAGAAGAGAAAGTCAATGTCATTGCTGCTGCAGGCTTTGCTGGCTTTGATGGTGGTAATGGAGGAGAAGCAGAAGGAAGGAGGAAGGGAGATGGAGGTGTATGAAGGGAGAAAGGGAGCTAACGTAGAGGAAGAGAAGCAGGTAAAGGAATACCCTGCTCCTCTGCTCACTCACAAGGAGCTTTGTAGAGATCCAGGAATCTTCGTTGAGGCCTTGCTTCGGTTTCATTCTTTAATTGGCACCAAATTCATGTATTCATCTTTATAAATGAGCCTGCTTTGATACAAATCAATGCGATTTTGTGTGTTAAAAATTGTGTTTTTTTTGTTGGATTTGGGAAGGATTCCGGTGATATGAGGGAAGGATCTTAACTCTTGAAGCATTAGCTCAGTGGTTGGATTGCTTCATATAAAATCTATCATCCAACAATTTATCTATTTTCTTTTCTTCTGGTGTCGCCATGTTGTTATTCATATTTCTCTACAACAAATTCTATAAAAAGTTTAGAAAATTTACATATATACCACTCAATTCCTACGTATTTAAGATAACATCTAAAAACTTTAGAAGGTAAATAAGCAAACCATTTAGATGTTATTTTAAATATATAGGAATTGTGTGGTATTCATATTTATTATTTTGTTTGCTGCTCTGTATGAGTTTTCTTCTTCTCTAGTATCAAATATATTGTCAGGACAGTTCTGTTGCAAACAACATTGCGTAACAAGCGCAGAATGATCATTTATCCACAAACAGCTGCAAATCAGCTGTTTTCAAACAACTGCCTCAAACAACCAACAAGTTTATCAGGATAAGCTGCTGATCAGCAGATTATTAGGATAAACTGTTTATCATGATAAGTTGTTGATCAACAGATTATTAGGATAAGCTGCTTATCGAAATAAGCTGCAGCTGCTCCAAACAGACCCGTGAAGATTGACTTTAACAAGAACTTTCAAGATTTGTTGAATTAAGACGGAGGACTTTACTTTAGTCCATTACATGACATTTGAGTTTTAACATCTTGGTCCACCCTGAAGTAAGATACCCCGCACTTGCTCCTTGTACTTAGCTTCAGCCAGATTTTCATAGTACATTTATTAGAAGTAAAAGTGCAGCTAGTGAGCTCATTCTCTTTCATTTTTGTAGAAAACTTTTGCATTTTATGTGATTTAAAATTATGATAGAAAACTTTTTTTCTTACTATGTCCTCTGCACAAAGGAAAAATAAATAAATAATTCTTTTAGTTTTGCTCTTGAGCCCCGGTCTACAGGTTTAAGCGAGGCTCATCTGCACTCTAAACTTGGTTTTGTCTGAGAACCCTACATGATTAACAAACTGAAAATCCCCTTTAAATCTTACATTACTTAAAATGCTATATTTATTAGTATAAAAGCCCCTCTCTTCCATGAAAAAATATTACACCACGAGTCCTGATACAAAATTGTATTAGGATCTAATGAAATTGTGCCACGTGTACGTAAAGAACCCACTGAATACAAAAAAAAACTCAAAATTTGAATGCATGACCTCTGACGTGGCACAATTTCATTGGAGTTCTGATGTAATATTTTTTCCTCTTCCACAACATAACTTATAAACATTCATTAAGGCCGATAATGACCCTTTTGTGATAGTCCCTTCATCTCCACATCATTATGCTATCAGTTTTTTTTTTTTTTTTTAATTCTTCAAATAAGCAATATTAATTTATTTTTCCCTATTTTTCTTTTCCAGTAATGCAAGGCATGGCGGTGGCACCATCATACCTCATTTGAATTTCAGCATACCTTGTTCCGCCTTGGAGCCTGTATTCAAGTTTTCAGGTGCAGAAATCTATTCACCTTTGTCTGTGTCATTCTAAATTTCATTCATATTTAAAAAAAAAAACAAACAAACTGAAGCTTTTTGCAGCATTGTGCTAAGGAAAATTTACACACATACCACACAATTCCCATGCATTTACATATCTAACATCTATACTTGAAATTTTACCTATGTATGAAAAGATGTATGTCAGTTTTTAAAAGTTAATGGTGGCATTTTTAATGTGATATGAAACTTTTGGGTGGTATAAATGTAAAAGGTAAATTTCAGGTGTTAGATATGTAAATACATTGGAATTGGGTGTTATGTATGTGCATGCCCCTAAAGAGCATTCACAAACATACCACCTAATTATTAAGTATTTACATATCTAACATCTAAACTCTACTTTTAAGTTTATACAACCCAAATCTTTCATCGCCATTTTAACTTTTGAAAAGTGAAATACACCTCTTCATGCACAGGTAATGTGTAAGAATTAAACTTTAGGTGTTAGATATGTAAATGCATGGGAATTAAATGGTATTTATGTAAACTTTCCAAATAAATATGATAATTTTAATCTCATTATGTTTCATTGCTGCAGAGACCCAGGATATATCAATCTTAGAGATTCTAGATGAACCAAATGAACTGCTTTCTTCTGTGTGGGCTTTGGTGCCCCCAAAATCAAGGAACCAGCAGCCTGAATCAGAGAGTAGGAACTACAGAGAAGGAAAAAGTTCACGTTTCTCCCAATTTCTTGCGGAACAGAATGCAGACATTGCTTCTTTGAAGGAACTAAATCATCTTAAGAAAATGAATATCACTAGTAAGATATAACTAAGTAGTTTGAGTTAATAATCAGATAGTCATAGTTTTCCTTAGTTAGATGATTTGCAATATGTGCTGATTAGTTGGGTTGTTGTATTACAGATACATATACCTTATAACTTAGATGATTTATATATATACCACACAATTCATTCACATGAACCTTGATATTTACATGTGTGGTGGCACTTTGGGGCAATAAATCTCTAAATGAAAGGGTGTATTTCAATTTTAAAGAGTATGTAATAGTGGCATTTTTTTTATGTGATGTTAAAGATTTGACTAAATATGAAAGTTTGGGTGTTAGATATGTAAATACATAAGAATTGTGTGGTATGTATGTAAATCCTAATGTGTTTCTTCCATGCAACATCCACTCTCCACCCCCTCCTCTCTACAGTGCCTATTCTATCACCTCTTCACTATAATTGGGGCAATTACTACAAATCAACCACTCTCTTTCATCCATTTTTTGAAATTCTAGCTAAAATGCTGAAATTCATGGTGAAGTTCCATCCTTGTATCAGTTTTCTTATATTATATACACTTAACAATATTTACATTAATAGAGAAATAGGTATGTAGGGCTATCAAAAAAGCTCGTTATTCGCGAACAACTCGTGTTCGGCTCGTTCGTTAAGAAAACTTAATGAACGAGCTGAACACAAACAAGTTTTTAAAGATCAAATTATAGATGAACCGAACACAAACAGTTCTTTGTTCGCTCGTGTTTGGCTCGTTTTAGCTCGAAATAAAAAAGAAAATTATATAATTATTTATATAATAATATATTACACCTCGTGTGGTAATGTGGTTAGTGTTTTCTTTTACATACATTTGGTCCAGATTCGAATCCACAACACTTTACATACATTTGTTGATAAAAATATTAAATGCATGGTAGATTAATAGGTAAAAAATTAATTTTATTAATAAAAAAATCATAATTAATAGAAATAATATCAAGTAAATTATGTTAGAGTAAAATCATTGATGAAAATTATGAAAACATAAAATCAGCAATAAGACCATTTGCTTAATCATTAATACTCTGTATAATTAGTTAGCCTAGATTAAAGCAAGCTTTACCATGCTTTTAAAATGCGATTCATGTTCAGGTTCAGCTCTAACTAGCATTGAATCATTAATAGAAATTATAAAAACATATAGTCAGTCATAAAACTATTTATTTAAATCATTAATAACCTGTATAGTTAGTTGGGCTAGACAGTAAATCAAATGCAGGGGTTTTCAAAATTCTAGGATTTGGTTGAATGAAAATAGAAGGCCTTGGTGAATTTGATATTCACCTTGTCGAACGAAATTGGTGTATTCTAAATTTGTTAATTTTAGGTGATTTTAAATTACACCGTAAATTACAGCCTATTGTCATGCCACTATCGTCACCCACAGGCCCCCATCAGAGGAAAAGTATTTAAGTACGTCATACGCAAGCAGAATTGTGTGTGTATGAAGGTTATTTAGAGAATGTTGGAGGGTTTTGTCGTTGTTATTATACTTATTACCCTCAATAACCTCATGAAACCCTCGAATGACTGAAAAAAAGATGAGTGCCGAACCACAGAATGTATTGGTAGGTTATTGAGATTTTATTGGGTTAATACCCCCCAATAACCTCTTAATAAACCCTAATAACTGAGTTATTGGAAGATTATTCAGGGTTATACGCACGTAGAACTACGTGCGTATGACGTATGTAAATAACGCTCCCATTAAAGCCACTGCTAATTGTGTGTTGCAACCACCGGTCGTTACAGCCGCTAACATTGATTTAATTTTTCTTCAAATCAAACACAAAAATAAAAATTCTCATATTTACTTTGCACCAAGCCAAAACAAGTTCAAAGTATTTCAATTACACTACATTTATTTTTGCAAATAGCCCATAAATTGTTACACAAATTTCATGCACCCACACTTTAGCAAATAACTCATAATTTATCACTGGAATTGACTTACTCCAAATATAATTAAATTACAAAAAGAAATAACAGACAAGGAGGTATCAAAAGAGGTGCCTACAAAAGTCAGCCATGGTGTTGACTCATCAGGCATTAAGCTGCCATGCCATCTCCATCATCATCTTCTCCACCAAAGCCATCCTCCTTCCTTAACCGGCCACACACATTGCACTCAATCACACTTGATTGAGCACCATCTGGTGATGGAGGCAGGGGAGCCATTGTCCCACCACAATTTTCTCGCTCGCAAACATACCTGACAAAGAAATAAGCATGGGGGAAATCATCATCTCCATCACCAATCTCCTCCTCCATCCCCTCCAGCCTTCCATCCCCATCCTCCTCTTCCATGTCCTCCTCCCCTTCCTCTTCCTCATCCTCATCCTTCCAATTTCTCTCCACCTCACATCTATCACAGCTGCAATGAAATCCATAATCCTCTATGAGCCTCTTCTGCCTTTCCTTATACCGCCAATTTACAGGAAAATAGCTCAGACAAACCTCCCTGCCCGCCGGAATGTCATGAATTGCCCTCACCGTGATCTGAGTATTGCCTTCTCCATCGCGATCAAGATAATCAAAACGGCAAGCATTGGGCAGACAATCGTGGTTAAAAAGGGAGGAAATAGGGTAAATTCCATAGGCCCTCACCCTTCTCTCACCACCATCCTCCTCCCTGAACGGCTCCATGAGACCAAAAGCGTTCCTTCTATCCTTCGCAATCAGCATGGATATGGCTTGTAGAGAGAAGCCGGTGAGAGGACCAAGCAGGGAATGGAGGAAAACAGCATCCTGCTGTACTGGGTTGGCATCGCCACCGTCTAGGGTTAGGAGGCAGTTGGCAGGGGAGGTTGAGGAGAGGTTGGAGGCCGCAAGAAGGAAGTAGATCTGAGCGTGTAGGTCGGGATTGGAAAGGGGGGGTAGTGCAGCGAGTGCACGGCAAGTGGAAGGATGGTGGCATGAAGAGAGGGCGGCAGATAGGCAGCGGTTTGTGCAGAAGACAACGGAGGGGCAGAAAGGACATGGGAGAGGGGCGGAGCGCAGGGAGCGGAAGCAATGGAAGCAGAAGGGTGAGGTGGATGGGCGTGAGGAAGAGGCGGCGGCGGCGGGATAGAGAAGCAGAGGGGAGTCCGTGAGTAGAATCTCGCCTGGATTGATGTGGCGAGAAGCCACGAGAGCGCGACCACGGCCGGGTATATCAGCGAGCTTCACGAGCGGTTCCGGAGGTGGGCTTTCCGGCGACATCATGGAGCTTTCTCCGCCCTGATCGGCCACCGACGGCGGCGGAATTGCAGGTGAAGAGCGCTCGCACTCCGCTTCGCTAGGGTTTGAGGGCGTGTAAACGGAAGAACTGTCGCACCTTCACGTGTAAATGTGAAAGTGTTGGACCCATTGAAATAAAATAAAATAAAGAAAAGTGAAAAATGTGTATTTTGATGTGCTTCGAAATTTTTTTTTGAATTTCAAACATCAGTGAATAGCTGGGTATTTGATTTATATAATAAAGTAATAGAGCTTCAGAGTGAAGTTATAAATTGAAAAATAGAAAAATAATATTAAAGGTGAACAAAATGAAGAAAATAACCCGTGAGATTGTTAGGGTGCGTCGATTTTGTAGCCAATGACGGTCGGATCTCATTTTCATGTGCATGTTGTTCGCATTTGCATTGTTTTGTGTGTCATGCATGGATTTTTCAAAATATGCATACAATTATCGATTTTTGCATGTGTTTGGTTAGCTCGCCCGATCGGCCCCACCAGTCAAATTGACAAAACTGGCAATCTTTCGTCGACTCATCTGATCGGTTGCACCGGCCTAATAGGATCTATCAATGCGTTTTGCCGCTCATCTGATCGGCCCCACCGTCCCAATCGATGCAACCGATAATCTTTTATCAATTTGTCTGATGGGTCGCACCAGCCCAATCGGTGTGGAGCATCAATCTTTTGTTGACTCATCTGATCTAGCCAGATTAGATCAATTGATATCTTTCATTTGCTTTTTCGCTCGGCCCCACCTGCCCGATCAGTACGATCGACCATTTCTGTCAAATATTGTATCATTGCATGTTTATTTCATATTATATCTTTCATTTGCTTTTTCGCTCGGCCCCACCTGCCCGATCAGTACGATCGACCATTTCTGTCAAATATTGTATCATTGCATGTTTATTTCATATTATTTGCTTAAAAACATTCACACCACACACCCAATTGTGCATCTGTGAGCGTGGGCCCACATATGCTTGTGATGGGTGGTTATGCTCCTTTTTGGCATGTCCTTTCATGCCCATCTCGTGATATCCCTGTGTCAGGGTGCATCACATTTTGTATGTATGTACCTACACGTGTGCACTCGTGTTTATTTGTTTGCATGACATTTTGCACATTTATGACTTGCTTGAAGTTGTGTGCATGTGGATTTGTGTTCTCACACACATATCCCTCACGTTCACTCAGCATGTGACCGGACGGCTTGCACATCAAGCCTATCGCTATGTGATTCTCCTCAGTGAGAACTACTTCAACTTCTCTTCTTATGACACCACATCAGACTGTCGTACGTTACCTTCGGGTCATACACCAATCCCTTCAAGTTGTTGTCTCCTCGGCGCACCCACCATTCGGGTCACTGCCTCCACAACACACTGATACACAAAAAATATATGCATTTTTAGACCCATATTTTATACTCATTTTTTGTGATATTGCACTTTAATTGAAGGTATTTTTATATTTTCCTGTAGGTTGTTGAATTTTAGAACTTAAAGCAAAAATGAAGCAAAAATGAAGCAGTTGAAAATTTGTTCAGCGTTGACGACGTCGTTTGACAGAAAGCGATAATTAATTAAATGAACACTGGCGTCGATGGTGCTTATGGCGGTTCAGGCCCTGTTTTTAGAAGATTCAACGAATCGGGACGTTTTTTGAAGAGTTTTTGGATGCACCTATTGAAGAACCGACTGTAGGCTCTATTTGGGGTCGAAATTCATCAGAAAAACTCTCTCTTGGTCATTATTCGCCCCCTCTTCATTCCTCTTCGTCCCTCGCTCATTTTCACCGCACCTCGCCTCCATACACTTTTTTCATTTTCATTCCACCACCATTTAAGAGTCTATTAGTGATTTTTCGTTAAGAGTTTAGAGTTTTTGTGTTGAGATTAAATGTGAATTCTTCTCTAAGAGTGTTGAAGAAGGAGAAAAGTGAGAGATTTCTTCTTCTTACATTTCCTAGAAGAAACTACAAGAGATTTGTCTTGAGAAAGAGTTTCAGATAAGTGTTATTTGTTTATTAGTATTGTATGAAGTTTCTTTTATATATGAAATTTGTGTTTTGTTGTATCTTTCTCATTAAGTCTGAGTAGTTTGTTTTATCTTTCTCCCTACTCTGAGATATGATGAAATGAAGAGATCATATAGATGTGCCAATATTAAAATATAAAATAAATTGTGATGATTTTTCAACTTCGAACTTAATTTACTTTTCGATCTGGCCAATTGAATTTTTAAAATGTGTTGTAAAACATATGATCTGGGAAATGGAGTATGAGTTCTACAACAGAGTGAGGATCGCATTTGATTCCATGAAGGATAACTACGTTCATGGAATAAGTGCAAATAAATAGAAAAATATATTTTGTTAGGTATAAAATTGGAGAATCTTTATGGTGACTGACTAAATTCCCCAATTTGGTCTTAGTGTTTAAAAACTAGAGCGAGAGTTAACCTTCAGGTGAAGGGAAATGGGAGCTCTGGAGTGGGAGTCAGTATCCACCTAGCCTAGCCACAGATTTAAGGACTAAATCTGAGATTAGTCAATAATTTTCTATAACACTGTATCAGGTTAGAGAATTAAAACTGCTCCTATTTGACACAATACATATTAGAACCATTTATCTCATCCATTTTACCAAAACCTCATTATAGTGGGAAAGATGTTTTTTCACATAAAAAATCTTCATCACATAAGCATAGTTTAAGCATAGTTTAATAGTTTACATAGTTTAATAGTTTAGTAATTACTGTTTAAACTTTATATTTCGGTTTTATTATTAGTTAAATAATTTGGTTCTGATAATATCTCAACATTCAAAATTAGTGACAATAATTTCGTTTTGACTTTCTGTGAATTTCCTAGTAAATTTATCATTTCAAATTTAAACCTTCCCAGATCGATATTTGTGCTTAAATAGAAAATCTTTTATTACTTGATAATGATATGTATATTTGCGTAGAACCTCAACATTAATTGCTTAAATTTCCTATTCATAAAATATTGTATCAAGCTTTTGGCACCATTGCATAGCGGAGTTAACTATATAATTTTTACACAACTATATTCTCGGAATCACACACCCACCCCTTCGGATCCTCCTCGACATACCCTCCCTTCGGACCACTGCCTCCACGGTACACCCACCCCCCCAAGTCACTTCCTCTATGACACACCATTTCTTTGGGTTGCTGCCTCAAGGATATGTCTTCTCCTAAGTCACTGCCTCCATGACACATTCCTCGTCACTTTTACCATATGTTTGTTTGCATTTGCATTTACATGTGTGCATGATAGCGAGTCAGGATCGATAGGTGAGTGACCCTATGTTGGTTGCGATGCGATAACTATCATTGTTTATCGGAATCGATCCCCACGAGTAATATGAGTTATCGCATCGGGATTCACATGAGTTTGACTATGCTAAGGATCCATGAAATCTAACTCATGTCACCATGCATGCTATGAGTATGTCTTTAATGACCCTCATTTTAAAACTTTTTTAAAAAATGCCTATTACATTCACTAAAATTTTAAATTTATGCATCTAGAAAATTAGGAAAAATGTAAGGTCAACTCTTTTTCAAAATCCATGTAACACTTTTTAGATCCATTGGATCTTTAGGACGGGGCCAGTGTGTGACCACATCAAAGTCATATATACTCGGAGACTAACCTTAATCACTTCGATGTCGGTTATGACACATTTTCGTTTGACAGTGTAGTAGGCTAGGACTAGGGTGCTATGTAGTATTTTAGACGCCTCTAGTTATTGCTCTCTGCTAGTTTGATTATTTTAGCTAAGCATCACTGTTGTGTTTTTTGGTGTGCAGGCTTGATATGTATAGTAGTATATTAGAGAGTTATTCTGCAACGAGTCGAGTCTATATATATGCACACTCATAAGTACCATTAAAAGGGGGGCATGCAATTATTTATATTAACATTTGGCTTGCAAGTGTCATTTAGCTCCTCCAATAAAAAAACACGACTTTTTATACATCACATGTTTGTTGGTTTTTCTGCTAACTTTACTTTTATGCAGGTCAATTTTTTTTTTTATCTTTTTTTCCTGTATATATTTAGGGTTTATTTGGGACAGCTGTTGATTATTTATAATCTACTGATAAATAGATTATTCTGATAATATGATAATTTGTAAATTATCATGATAATTCGGCTTGCTGTTTGGGGCAACTTATTCAGAACAGTTTACTGACAGTTTGTTGTTGGATAAATGATCATTCTGCCCCTATTTGATTAAGTTGTTTGCAACAAAACTGTATGAGCATAAAAATAGATAAAACAAAACCCACAAATCATTACAGATCAGTTCATTTAGGTGGAATATTTTTCTTTCAAATCATCACATTTTCATGTCTTGTGCCAAGATAAAATGCACAATCCATCTCAAAGTTTAATATAGGACACAAAAATCTCTTAGGTATAAAAAATAGAAGGGGTCAATGATGAGGCGTATCTGCATTTAAATGTCACATATGTAAATAGTGAAAAGTTATGTACAATGTATATAAATTTCCCATAGATAAAAGATGTGTGAACGATTTAAAATACTATCAAAACAATTTAAACATAAATTATCTCCCACAGCAGCCTTTGTTTCTCCATTCTATGCGACCTCAAACAATCTAAGACAAAAACAATAATCAATAAAATGGAACATCCACAAAACTATGACAGCGCAAATTTCAATTTCTTCTTGCTAGGAAATGAATACCATCAAGCTTTACTTGCAAAGAGAATCAAAATAATACTAGAACCAATGGTAATTCAATTATCACAATTCGAAGCACACCAAACCAGCACAACTATACCAATTTAGACAGTTGCATCGAAATCTTATTATCTTGCATTGTAAGTGATTATAATTGTAGGCACAAAAGCTTGTAGATGGTATGTTGGAGAAGAACATTGAGATTGTTAGAAAAAAGCTTACAGTGGACAGAGAAGGTGTTGAGAAGAGAAGGACTGTAAGAAAAGCTTCGATCCCGAGCCATTTGTATTCCATGGTCTTGCGGTTCGAGTGTAGGAAAGCTTCGTCGCCAAGAGTTGAAGGAATCGCGACCGGGACGGGTTGGAAGAAATCGCGACCGGATCAGAAGACGAATGATCGAGGGTTCTCCGCCTTGGACCGCGACCGGACAGGTTGGGAGAAATCGCGACTGGGATCGAAGAGGAGAAGGGCTTGGGGACGAGATCAAGGGCTGGAGAAATCGCAACTGGGATCGGAGAGAAGAAGGGCTCGGGGACGAGATCGATGGCTCCAAGGGTAATAAGCTCGAATGAAACGCGGAAAGCGGGCTCTGATTGGCAGCCGCGAATAATGAAGAACTTGCGTCAAGGCGCATCGTCATTCGTACGAGCGAAACAAAAAGCATTTCCAGAATGCCTACCGTGTAATAAACCGCCCTAAAAGGGCACTCAGTCCTATGAGAAGGGTTTCAAGGTGTCAGACAGTGTAACTACATTACAACGACCAGAAGTTGTTTGCTCGTGTTCCAGAAGTTGTTTGCTCGTGTTCTGTGCATTAATTCTAAATCTCATTTATGTATATAACTAAGACAATACATGTAATTATGCGAAACAAGATCTTTTTTTTTTTTTTTGGGATATGTCGCCAACTCAAAGACACTGGCCTTTTTAATTATTTTACTTGGGTTGTTCTACTGCTTTTCCTGCATGATTGCATACTTGAGTCGTTTCCCCTATTTTTTTCTAGTTGTATCAAAGATTTTGTGAAGATTACAATTTAGGCTCTTCAGGACCTTATCATTGAATTTTTTTCTAAAAAAATCATAATAAAAATCTCAAGGTTAATTAAAATTTAGAATTAAGAGATTCAGGAATTTTTAAGACTTGCTTTCTACTTTCTTGCATGGACTTCGGGCTTGTTTTATAATGAAATGCATAACATAAGCATAACTAAATCATATAATAGGCCCTTCACAATATATAAGAACCGACTGCATCATATGCATGTCATGAGTAGAAGCCCTCGTGCTTCTTTAACTCGCCTGACCCAACATAAAAATCTACTTAGGTGGTTATATAATGTGTTTAGGGTGTTGGAAGACTCTCGACCTAGACGGATATAAGTCTTTTATTGAGAGTGTTTATAGCTTTGTAGTTGAATCTTCTTTTCTCTTTATTTCTAGTGGTATCCTTGCCACTTTGACAAGTATAAGTTTCTCCTCTTAAAGCTCCACTTAGTAGTCACAGGATAGAGTTTTATTACTTTGATCGTAGGGCTACTGAGGTTCACGTGGATGGTGCAATTCAAGTATACTGATCGGAGATCTCTTGATGTATTGGGTCGATTATCTCGCTACCAGATAAACTTAGAGTCTTAGTGGCTTAGGATGATGCATCTATGATGCCCCAACCTGGCTACCTCTGTATGTTGAGGATTACTCCACCCTTCCTTTGACTACCCACTTTAAGCTCTATCACTCTTCTTACCTTCGTGGGTATCATCTAGACGTCCTGATTACTAATGAGTTGTCGTTCGTTTAGTATACGACAATTTGTGATCTGCCCTTATGACATTTATTTGCTTTGGTGTATTGAGATTCTTCGTCGGGATGATTCAGTTATTTCACAGGCTTCGTATGTCGATGAGTCTGTTATCCATGTGGGAACCGTGACAGACTCACTCTATGTCCCGTGGCTTAGAAGGAACTTTGAAAGCATTTGAGTATTTCATGTGAAATAATTGTCCTTTGATAGTCCTGTGCTAGTTGTCACTACTAATGTAGACAAAACTCCTTTGAATCAAGTGTATTCTTGGATAACCCCCAATAATCAAGTGGGATACCTCCCATTGGATGCACTTTAGACCTCAGAACAGACAAACACACACGAATCTCTAGTTATGGGTAGTTTATGTATGTATCCTTTTCACGGATATTAGTCCAAGATACTTCCGCCTGATCTTGTATGGGTGGACATGCTTGACATATCCTTGCGAGATGTATTGCACGCAAGCTCTCCGAGTTTTCTTTCTTTTTATTTGTCTTCTTCTTTATATGTCCCTGCTTTTCTGATTTCTTTCTTTTTCAGATCATTCTTTTTATATGGAAGAGAGACTTATTCAGAAAATAAAATTATATGACGATAGAGAAGTTGACGACTCATTCAAAAAATTTAAAAAAAAAAGAGAAAACAAACATAAACAACAAAATTCTTTCCTAATTTTCGAGTTGGTTCGAGCCGAGTTATGCACCAACATACACCTTTCTCGTTTTTCTTTTTTTTTTTTGTGGGTCTGATACTTTAAAGGTGGAGAAATATAATTAGAGTTCAGAAGCAACTATGCGTCCCAACTTCTGATGCAATATCTTTTCGTGTAAACGAGTCCGAGCGCACCTCTAATCACCCTCAATTTCACCTTTAGCTTGCGAAAAATTGAGCTTAATTCTAGAAATTCAAGATTATAATGAAAAAAATAAATATTTAAGAGATTATGAATAAGAAATAATTTAATATGAAATGTAAGATATTAATTTTTTATTTTTTTTCAACAATTTAAAGAAATTTTTTTTGAATTTTAATGTATTTTAAAGTGTATTTTTTATTAATTATTTTTAAATGAGCCTGTCAAGAGGCAAGCTTGAGTTGGCTTTTTAGCTCATCGAGCTCAATTCACAAGCCACTTAACAAGTCGAGCCTGAGCCAATCATAAGTCGACCTACCTCATTTTTACACTGCTAGTCTTAATCCTCAAAATCCATTACCCCTCAAAATGTCGAAAAAATTTTCCCATATATGAGAGGAACTATTTATAACAATAATTCAACTTTATTTTTGTCGTCGTTATGTTCATTTTCATTGATTATGTGAGTGTAGTTAATAGTTAATTCATTTGAAAATTTTAATTGCAGTTGAAATAATTTCTATATTATTTAAAAATGTATATATTAAAAAACACATATATACAAAATTGTTAAATATTAAGCTGTCAGTGAATCACACTCAAAGAATAGAGCGTAGAGTAAGAAAAAATTAAGAGAGAGAAAATGATCAACTGTGATGCATAGTCCCTCCATAGAATATTTTTTCCTATTTATAGGAGAGATGGCACAATGGTGATATTACATTTTTTGCACCATTTAGGAAGGGGTATGTACTAGGATATTATTAATATTTTACTATATGGAGATGTCGTATGGCCGCCTTCTCATGCGATTGACTAAGCTTAGTTGACTTCAGGTTGACGGGGCCAGCTCGGTCAGCTAAACATGGTCGGTAAGGTCTGGTTAATTGATCCAATCTTAGTTGACTATCCATAATCCCTGTTGACAAGGCATTGAAGTCTCCATGAGATAGTTGAAGATACTTTGTAGAAGTAAATATTCCTTTGAATTGACTCTACTGGGGGGTGGCCTATTGCACCTAGTTGGCTTTCTTATAACGGTTAGCTCGCATGTTCTTTCATATAATTTTTAGTCGGATTGCTCGTGCTTGGATTATTCAATCGTCTGCTTGTTTGTCTTGTGGCTTAGTCAGTTTGGCCTGATTGGCTTGGCTTGTTTGATCTGGTGGCCCTCACGATCTTCTGGCAATTGGCTCGCCTTGATAATACTTTTTCCTTGTGGATTGTTAGCCTATCTCAAGATCAACATAAACACCTTTTTTATGTACAAAAATGATTTAACTTCATTTTAAAAAATCCCTTTTATAAAAAAATTTTTTATGGAATGATTTTCTTATTGATTCTTTCCTCTATTGTTATCATATTTTTTTTATTTTCTTTTGCAATTAATTTTTTTTTTTAAATAAAGAGCAATTTATCTATTATATATGCATTAATATCAAAATAATTACAAGAAAAACTAATATCACCCCTCCAAACTCTAATTACAAGTAAAACTAATATCACCTCCAAACTCTAACTCAACTGTTCTAGCACTTTTAAATTATTAAGGCAATCACTCTCCCCATTTTTGAGTTTTTTTGCAGGTTGAGTGCTTGAACCCGATCACTTGGCTTTTAATACTTTATTTTCAACAACATGGTCCATGTTCAAGCACACATTTACACGTCTTGTCGTATGTAAGCACAAGCGAACCACTCAAACATAAGAATCGTTTAATATTCCAATCCATTCCCTCTTCAATAATAAGATAACTCTAAGAGTTTATTACTAATCATAGACTCTATGCCATACAATTGCTAAATAGTAGCAATTCATAATCTAACAAGTATAATCTACCCTTTATATTGATATTTTAGGACACTTACTAATCCACTCATTGGCCTTCCTATAGTGGATCCAATAATTAAGGCGTTCCTACCATGTAAAAACCCAAACTCTTACCCATCAAGATATCGTCCATTGCACTCAACATGTTTAACCCAAACTCATCCACCATACAAATGTAAATCTAAAGTTTCTTCAACATCTTCAAGAGGTGACTCTCACAATGTAATAATATGTCTCTTATGGAGTTTAAGAGTAGCTTCCATAGCATAGCATAACAATTTATTCTATATGATACCCGATTCCCATTTTTAGGTTAGTGTAACACTTTGAAATCATTTGTATAGCTCAAACTCTCAATCATCGATGTATTATTTATCTCAATCTAATGGCTTCACATTTTTGTTCTATTACTGGTACTTCCCAATTGGTCGTCCATCATAGGAGTGTTCTTGCTTGCATACAGTTAACTTTTGAGTTTTGGATGAAATTTCAACCCTTGCACCAAAAAGTGCCTCCATGTTTAATAGTTGAGCTTCACTCTACTTAAAGGTTTTCACTTATCAAGTCTATCCCAAGTAATTCTTAATGCACCATGGTCTAAACCTAGCCTAATCCAACCTATAACGTAAGGTCTCTTATTGAGTTCAAACTATCTTTGTAGTTTCGAATGAAATTTGAACGGTTACGCAAAAAAAAAGACCTCAATATTTAATAGTTCAATTTCATTCATTTAAGGGGTTCAAATCAATCATGAAGCTTTACCACCTATGGGCAAAAATGATGCTAGGACAAGAAACTTCCGTGTAACTTCCTCATTAAAAAAAAAAGTTGAATTGATGATTATTGATATTTTTATATATTAATGCATCATAATTACATGACCTTTTGAGCATATGCTAATAATAAATAGTCAATTATATTTTCTATATTAAAACTACTAATAAATCATGATTAGTTGATTACACCTTTTTTTACATAAAATTTAAATTTCATCATGGAGACTCAAACTTGAGCAAGTTGAGGCTTGATTTATGTTCAACTTATTCAGAATTAATTATAATCTAAATTGGTCTGTGTTTAAAATTGTATGAGAACAGTGTGTTCGTGTTCGACTTTATTTACATATTATTGTTCGTGTTCGTCTCAAAATATATATTCTTATTTCGTCCGGCTCAAAACTAACTCATTTAAATTAATTATATAAATAAATATAGGATATTGAATCAATAATTCTAACTTAAAAAAATTATGCTCATCTTACTACCTCACTCAACTAACGCTACTCCAAGAGCTGTTCTTAAAGAACGAGTTTTTCGACAGCCCAATCCGGTACAGGGGTCTTTTTATCCTGCTCCCCCTCCTTCCTCTCCCAAGCAAGCTTGCCATAGAGATATATAGGGACAGTGATGGCGGAGGATGGTAGACAAGGTATAATGGTGGTACAGCCGACGGCCGCTAACCCCATCGCCCAAATCCAGTCCCGGTTCAAGGAGCTGGAGGCAGGATTCCGTTCATGGCTCGAGAAGCAGCCTCTGCCTGTGGAGGCCGCTGTTGTTACCAGCACCGGCGCAGTCCAGGGTGCTGCTATCGGTGGCCTCATGGGTACCCTCACATCCGACATGTCTTCCGGTTTCCCCTCCCCTCCACCCCAAGCAGCCGGGCTCAACCCCCAGGCCATTTCTTCTCTCAAGCAAGCTCAGGTCTCGTACTTCAACTTCACAGCAAGAAGGTTCTGTTTTGTTTTTTTGTTTTCAGGCATTTTGCATAAACGCTCTGTTTGTTTTGTTGATTTAGGTTTCTAGGTTTTCCTTAGATGTCATTAGCTTTTTCATGATTGTTGAATTAGGAGGGGATGACGCTGTTTTGTTTTATGCGCTTTGTTCATTGATTGAGGAAAAATTAGGTTGGATAATGCTAGAAGCAAATCTCAAGATATCTGGTCAGTTCTAATTTCGGCACAGAACTCAGGGGTAGATACCACCCAAGTCTTATTTATTTACATATCTAACACCAAAACTTAATTTTTTGCATTTATACCATACAAATCTTTCATATCACATAAAAAAATACCTTTTTTTTATTTTTAAAAAGTGAAATACACCTTTTTCATCCACAGGGAAGGTGGCATGTAGATAAAAATTGAAGTTTTGGTGTCAGGTATGTAATTACATAAGAATTGAGTGGTATGTATGTAAATATCACTTTAGGAGATTCCGAGGTTGTTAAGTTTCAAAACTATGTGAATGCCCATATCTTTATTTTGATTTAAATCCTAGAAACTGTTGGGATGGGAGTATGAGAGTCAGTGGATTGAGGGCTTTGGGTAGATTTGTGGTTGATTTCATTCACTGTTTAATGGCCACTAATGTTTAATAGGGCATAATAGGGTTTAATTGGGCTTGTTAAAGTTTACTTAAGATTAGTTATTCCAAACAATTGGTGATTGTTTAGAACCTCATTTGAACTTAGACTAATGTTTTACTTCCCAATAAATACCCAAGAAGTTTGGGGTTTGATTGGGTTTGTTACCAAGCTTATGTAGATGACCACAAACATAGATGGATATGTGACCAATGTTTCTGGATTGGGCCATTAAATTTAGGCCACACTCCCCAATAAAATCCCACACTTTTTTGGATATTTTTTTTTGTCAGAGTTACCCTTAAATTTATTTTGGAATGAAGTAAGTTAAAATAGTCTTGTTAAGTGCATTAATATTTTTATAGTGGTTTAGGCCTAATTAGATTATTTGGACTACTTAGACTATTTGTTAGTATTTAATTTGATTATTAAACAATTCTAAAAATTGTTAATTAAGTATTAATAAAACATTAATTAATATAGGGGCATCATAATAAAACACAAACGACATAATTTTTTTCTTCCACTCTAAAACTTTTGATCAAAATTCTTTATACTCCTTTATTATGAAAAAAGGAGATTAAAAAGCCATCATTTTGGTTCCTATGGCTGGGATCGCCAACCCCAATGCCCTTATGTATATGTTCTTTATATGATCAGCTTCAATGTGATTGATGCCTTCAAGCTCATCTTCATGTTGTTAAATCTTGAATGTGGTGTGATTACATGATTAAGCAATTACAAGTGATTTTGGAGTGATAATAGGATTTAAGGATTTTTTTTTAATTGAGTGTAAAATAGTAGAGTTTGGTGGGATCAACGGGTTAAATGGCCTCAAATTCTTTACTATTGAAATGATCCGCGCAGCCAAACAACCCCTCGAAGTATCCAGTTGTAATAGTGAGATGTTGAACCCATAAAAAGAGAAAAAGAAAAAATAAAATAAAATCTTCTAATGCTATTTTGTGTGATGACTATAAGTTACATTATGTGTTACTTAATATTTTGTGCAAGTTTCATGAATGGAGGGTAATTTATCAACAACAATTCCAAAATTGCTGCCATCCATTCCATTTTCTCTACTTGCCCTTGGCTGGGTTCATCACCTGTTGCTCTTATACTTGTGGAAACAACATCATCCTAGTTGCAAAAAAAATGTAAGCAACAAAGTAATGAAATAAGTATGCTGAAATCAAGCATTTCTTACTATTAAAACTAACAATTGGTATAAAACTAATAAAACCTGATCTGCAACACATGGAAGACCATTTGATTTCGTGGCTATGAGCTCTCTTAATTGATTCTAGGCAGCATTGATATGAAATGACATTCATGATTGTAAAGCACTCGAGGAAGGGATTTGGAAGTGAAGGGGTTTTAGGGACACAAATCATTGTGATGCGGCCACTATAACTCAAGGGCTTGTATATGTCTAGAAAGATTCCCAGATAACCCCTTACTCAGTCGAAAGCTGCTCATCCTGCTTAGTTCTAATTTGTTTATTAAAACATCATAAGGCCACTATAACAATTTATATGTTATCTTTTTAAGCAGGCCATTTATTTGTAGAGGGGCTGTATTTCTATTCTGTTGTAGATTCTGCATTGAAGTTGGATAGGACGGGTATTTTCCTTTGCAACATACATCAGAGTGAATTTTTTTTTTGTAGTTTGTATTTGATAAAAATAATGAATTGGAGGTCTTTTTTTTTTTGGAATATGGCAAACTTCATTTGGGAGCAAGGCAACTTCTTATGTGAATTAACCATTTCATGTTTGTTAATCTCATAACTGCAATCTGAACAACCTTTTATTTTTTTAAAGATTTAATGATTATGGAAGTGTGTTGAGAATAAGTTTAGTGAAATTGCTCCTTATGGACAAATCTTGGTTACATTGCCTGGTAAATTTTTGTTTTTAATGCTTAATATGAGCTGAAAATGCTTTGCATGCCATTTTTTATACATTGTTTCTGCTGCCAGTATTCTTCATTTTTTCTGGCTTATGCAATTGTGAAATGTTAATGCTTTGTTTGAATTGCAGGCTTTTACAGGAGGCCCCTTGGTACAAGCCCGTAATTTTGCCGTCATGACTGGTGTAAATGCAGGTATTTCTTGTGTCATGAAAAGGATACGAGGGGTGGAGGATGTCCAAAGTAGGTAAGTTCAAACTTAATCAGAGGTATTTTTGTTGTTGTATTGAATCTTTTCTTTCTTTTTAACCTTTAATGGGGAATTTAACTTTATTGCCATTGAGTAGTTAAACCTTTAATATAAATTTGGGAGTTTGATGTTTAATTGGGAGTTTGCCGAGCATACCCTTGAGTAATTACTAGTTCTTCTAATTTTTCCTTTCATTTTAAGGATTAATTGGGAGTTTAGCTGGAGTACTCTCTAACAGTTGCACCTTTAATATAAATTTGTTGAAATAAATGGTTCCTATTTGATTGCTATCCGTATAGTTTAAGGATTATGCGTGCACCATAATTAATCCGTTCATCTCTCCGCTGTGCGCAGGGACTGAATTATATTTTTAGAGCCCATGATATCCCTAAAACTTGCATATCTTAGCATTATTAAACGTATAGACAGTTAAAACATGCATTAAAAAGCATTAAAAAGCATTAAAATGCTAATGCTCTTTTTTGCACATGGGAAAATTCCGATATAATGGTCATATGATTTTGCAACTCCAAAAATTATAAGAATAATATGTTTAAGAAATATCATAGCTATGACATAGATTCATAATCCACTTACTTGCATCACAAATAAATTAAATGTCAATCCATATTATTTCTGTTAATTTGCAGCAAATGCAAGTTATTGCTTATTATATAATTATTTAAAATTTCTCAAAAAATACACCACCAAACAAAATTGTCAAGGTATAGTTTGATTGGTCATTCTAGAAAGAACTCTCAGCAGTTTCAGAAATAAAAAATATATATATCATTTGTAATGCGGTATTTGCAGAAATAAAGTCAGAGCTTACTTTAAATTGAAGTTTCCATAATTGAAAATAATTTTAGTGATAGGCCTTCATATATGAAACTGCTATTTTCTTCTTTGTTTAAGGTTTTGGGACCTCTTTTGGTCACAATTGACAATAATTTAGCCTTCACACATAGAAACATGCTTAAGGACTGCAATTGCGCTTGGAAGACAAGCCTTTTGCTGACCTGAGAAAGGGTTTTAAGCATATACAGCTTTGGCTCGTCACAGCGCTACCTAAAATTGCAGCAAAGCTTTGCTTACACGAGTTAGCTGCCCAGTGAATGTGCAATGGTCTAATCACCATGCACTTAAGAGTATGGGTGTGAAATGAGCCACTCAATCCATTCAAGTCCATTTAACTATGTCCTCCAAAAATCATGATGATCTTGCCAGTTCAAATTACCGACAAGGTTTAGTTAGGCCAACATATAATATAATGCATTTCTTCAATAAAAGTTAATATAAAATTTCACCTTTTTTTAATTTAATTAGCATATGTACAAGCCTCTGAGCTTGAGTGTTGAGCTTGAAAATCATTATGGATTTTGGATTTGAGCAAAAAAAATTATATTAATTGGATTAATGATACATATTAAATGAAAGATTAGTTGGTCTTTTAATAAAAATTTGGTTAGTTTTATGAAAGTTTATGGAACCCGCTTTTTAATATTGCTTTTACTTTTTCCAAAAGAAAAGTGTGAAGAGATATGATAGGTGATTAAGAAAAAGAGACTTGTTCTTAAAGGGTGGCAATAGGTAAAGACTAATAAGGCTTATGATGATTATAAGAAAGCTTGGAGTCTTGTTAGGAGGTTTTGGAGCTAAGAAATGGCTATATTTTACTTTGATTTATATTGTAGGAATGGTAGTTAGACAACTGTCAAGAAATCTTGAGAGTTAGATGCATTAGAAGTGAGTATAATAGGTTCTTATTCAAATATGAAGGTATTAAGGAATTTAAAAATGCTTTTTTGAGAATTTATTATATGCGAGTTTTGAGGAACAAATTATTTCAAAAAATTTTTTGTACAGCTTTGAAGACTAAGATGATGCCAAAAATTTGGAGAAGAATAATTTTGATATTGATATTAATAAAAAGATGCTCAAAGTTGTGCTAATATAAAGAAATTAAACTTTTGGGTTATACAATGAAACTATACACGAGGGTAATAAAGCATAAACATGAAAAATGTTACATTTGTTTTAGAGAATCAATTTAGTTTTTTGCTAGGAAGACTTACTAGGGAAGCAATTTTTGTGTTGATACAATTAATGGAAAAATATGGAGGAGAAATGATCTTTATATTATTTTTATTGATCTTGAGAAGTTATATAATTGAGTATCATAAGAATTGATTTGGTTTATTAAAGAAGAAGGATGTCTGTAAAGATATGTTGAAATTATTAAAGATGTATATGTTGGAGCATGGATTAATAATATTTTTTGTTATGAAATGACCAAAGGATTTCAATTATAGTAGGATTAATTAAGGATTGATATTTGACAATGAGTCCATATTTTTTTTTAATAGTTATGGGGATTCTTACAAATGGTATCAAAATGATTCCTTAGCGTATGCTTTTTGTAGATGAGATTTTGCTAATTGATCAAACGTCTGTTAGAATATGTAAAAGGTTTGAACAATAAAGAAAATATTTAAGAGATAAAAGGCTTAGAAATATGTGTTATTTTACTAGTTTTTATATAAATAATTATCAATCAATATTATTTAAAGATAAAGGTATGCTTATATATATGTTATGTTTAAGTATCGTGGATATATTATACAAAAAAATTGTTGATATAGAAGAGGATATAACTTATAGTGTTAATGTTCGTTCAGTGGTTAAATTATGTTAGCGTCTCCACGATAAGAGGATATCATGGGGACATAAGTTTCAATTAGATCGATCTTGTTTTATGGATTCATGTGTTGAGCGGTAAAAAAAACGCTGGATGTTAATTAGAGGCTAATAATAATGCGAGTGTTAAGATGGATGCATGTTAAAATTAGTAAGGATAATTAAATACCGATTATAGTAGGGGAGCAACTGAAGTGATGTCCATTAAAGACATTGTTAGGTAGATTGTGTTAGTTTGGATATGTACAATAAAGGATATAAAGTTTACCTAGTAGATAATTTAATAAGGTTTTTGAGATTAGGAACAAATTATGATGGCCTAAGTTAATATTGAGAGAATTGTTCAAAATAATGAGGGAAGAATATCTTCTACACCCGATGCAGTACTTAAAATCTACAAATATGAAACATAAATCATAAAGCCGGCCATAAAATATTTGCGATAAGGCTAATGATGATGGTTATTTCTATTTTAATAAAGCAAGTTCTTGAATACTTGTGTGAAAGAAAGACAAATTAGACTGCCAATATATTTAGATCAGGATCTCAAGCTACTTGCATGTACTGCCAGATGGCTCAAATTGGTTGCCAATACTGTGATAGTTGTTGTATATTTGTCCTTGCTCATGGTATATGCATGACACTCACTTGTCACTGGTGAATTATTTTGGCGGTCCAAATCCGGATTTTATCTTTGCAACATGGTGTTCAATTTTCTGCGCTGTTGAAGGTGGACTTTCCTTGGAAATTTAACTTTATTATCTCCTTCTTATACGAGAACTTGTAACTTTCATCACCCACCCTGTTTTTAATTCATTTTGAAGTTAATCATTTATAAGCTATAAAAGGAGAAAATTGGACTGTCAGAATTAGATGTTTTTGTTCTTTATTTGGCTTGTTTCAAATTGAAATAAGCGGAGACATACCTACCCTAATTGTTCCTTTGATTAATGATATTGTTCTTGCAGCATGGTTGCAGCTTTTGGTTCAGGGGCAATGTTTTCATTGGTGAGTGGAATGGGAGGCCCAAATCAGTTTGTCAATGCTGTCACATCGGGATTATTTTTTGCGCTTGTTCAAGGCGGCCTTTACAAGGTTTGGAAGCGTTAACATGAAATACTACATAATCTGATCCTTAGCAGGCCTGTTATGATTATATTTTGATGGATTGCAATACTCATAATCATTTAATCATCAAACAACAATGCGATGCACCGGAAATTAATCTAATTATAGTGATAAATAGGTAAAGCTTTATGGGGCTTCACCAACAAGTGATGTTCTGTAATTTCATTGAATATTGTAAATTTGTGGGCATAAGGAGGAAATGTGTCTCAAAGATCTATTGAAGCTATTTAGCATACCACTTATTTAATAATTTCTTGCATTAGAAATACTTTTGTGTGATTAAAGACTATTCAATCATGGCACATTACATTGAATATTAATATAAGCCTATCTTTTTATGATGGTCACTAATACAATAGATTTCTCAAAACGAGCTACATTGTTGTATGCAGTTTGCAAATACCATAATTAATTATGATAGGTGATGTCTCTTTTAAAGTTAATAAGAAGTTAAAACAATAGAGGAAACCTTAAAGAAGATTATTGGCTTAGGATTAGTATAATGAAAATTTTGTATTGAAAATGCTGTTTCTAAAAGATTTGGATTTATAATTATCAAACAATAGCATTGGAAGATGATGCGATATTTGGTATGGTGAATTTAGATTTATTATGCAAAAATGGCATCAATATTTTGATTTAAAATGGAGTGATTAATATGCAAACGTTTCTTAGGAGTAATGTGATAAGAAATTATCATATAACTCATGACATATATTTTTTTTGGTGCATTTAAAACTACTACTAAACAATATTTAGATGGAACCAAGTGTTAGCCTCAAAGAAAATATTGATAATTAGGTCGAGTATAATAGAAATTAGGAAGATATAATTTATTTAATAAAAAATTTGGAATGTTTGAAGTGATTATGGTATAAAGGCGGTTGGAGTAAAATGCATATAGAAGGTAAGATAGTGAAAAATAGACATCAATCCTCTCGGACTTGATGATAGAGGGATGAGGATTGTACAATGAAGTTTAGATAGATCAATTTGTATGCATTGGTATGAAATATTTTAGATCAAAAGTAACATTATGTAAATTATATTAAAAAATAATTTACATAGAAATTATTAAATACTGCTAATATCTCATGCAACACCTAATATAAATTATGAAGGATTCAAAAGATTGACTACGTTTAGCAAGTATAAGGCTAATGATGATCGATCTAGTGACCACCAAGAACTTCGCAAAACAGTTATCATTGACACCCTTTCTTTTATCTTGCTGTTTTAGGTTCATATGCAAATTTGTTTTCTTTGTGAGTTTGTTTTCTAAATTTCTTGGCAATAAATTTGCTTAAAAATCAAGATAGCATATCCATGTTCAATGTTGACGGATGGGTTTGATTTTTTTAATATTTAGATAATTTAAGTGCATATTTAGATAATTTAAGTGCATTCGTCTTTGAAAATTTTAAGCACCTTTACGATAATTTCCTTGTTTGTACTCTTTTGAAAGACTTAGGTGGTGAAAGGGGTTATTGCTTCAGTATTGATAGACCAAGACCTTCAATGGTTGACCATGAGTTTGCCTGGTGAGGAATTAGAAAATAATTGGAACATGGATAGAATTCATATGATACATCTCTTCAGGTGCGCTGATCGTTGGATATGTTTGGTTTCTTTTAGATTTGTTATAAATAATACTAGTTTGAGTAGCTATGCAAAGGTGTCACAGAATGGGGCTCAGAAATATTTATTTGTATCAGAACATTTTTTACTGACTTTTTTTTAAAGCCAGCTTTTGGGTTTTATTATTATATATGGTACATTATTAACTAATATTACAAGTGGTTGTGTAGCAACTAATTAGTTTTTAATTACAGAATTATTACACCATGCACGAACATTGAATTGACATTTTTGTAATGATAGCTCTAATCAGTGAGACATTTGCTTCAATAAGTGAAAGTCAGATGTGTAGAAAAGATTTTGATTATAAATGGTGCAAAGCTAGTGGAAGTAATTTGATAGTGACTTACAATGTTAGCTTCTGAGATATTTATAATCATTAATGATTTCGGAGTCAATCCAAATCACAATAGGGAAAACAAATATTATTACTTGAAAGCAAATAAATAGTTACAACTCACACATTGAAAGGGGAATTACAACAAATACGGCACAAAAACTCACACTAGGGCGGATTTAAGTTGGCGGTGGTAGCCGTTAGGGATTTGGAAGTTTTGGTGGTTGGGTGGTGGTTGGAAGGTGACGGTTGCAACAGGGAAGGGATTTTGGTGGCTTTTTTGAGATTGGCAGCAAGCGTGAGATAGTTGGACAGTGATATGACAACTAGAGAAAGGGCTTGTGGGGCTACGGTAGTGATGTCGAATGGCGGGGCAGGGGACGGGAACAAAAGGAAGTATTTGCGGGTTGCGGCAGCAAAGGTGGGGGTCTGGGATAGCGAAAACAATGGAGCGGGTGACCGGGACTGCGAGGAACAATGAAGGGGAAGGGCGGTGCACTGCAGGACAACAGAGAGGAGGGTTGTCTGGGAACTGCAAAAGTGAGGGGGATGGCGGGAAAGATTGCGGAGTTGGTTCAGGATAAATATTCCCGCAGAATTGAAATACAGCCAGAGAACCTCTCAATCCTTGGGGACGATCACCACCTCAGACGAATTATAGTCGGAGCCTTCTCGCCTTCGAATACAACCCTTAGAAGGGAAAAATCCGGTACAAACCACAATTTGAAATCAGAAACAATAAAAAATTCCCCTCTAAACAAGCACACATTACATATATAACATAGAAGCTAATAGATATGAATGGAAGACCATAGGAAAGGAAAAAAAATAAAAAGGAAAGGTAATATAATAGGAAAAAGCTAGGATAAGAATGTGTGGTGGGCAAGGAAAGTGATAAAAGGGAAAGGATCTGGAAAAGGTAGATGTGTTGGATTGTGGTTCTGTGGCAGCTAAAGCACTGCGACACTGTTAAGCTCCTACGTCAATCTTTTGGGGTTGAGGGAGCTTTGACTTCATTCATCAAAGCTTTTGGTCTCGTGTATCATGGAGTAAAGTCTGCTATGTTGATGGTAGCAAAGATATTACTAACCCCTTGGTTATCTCATCAATCTCCACAAGCTTCTATTGAAGACGACAGAGCTCTCGCAGTATCTTTTCCGGGCAAGCTCAGGCAGATATCTTCTTAATGGCTTGGTTAGGGTTTGAGATTTGTGGAAGTGGAAAGGTTATTTGGTGGTAAGAAGGAAAATTTTGGGTTATGATGGATGCTAAGAAACCTTAGGATGGGACTAAGGCTAGGCTAGCTTTGATATGGAGTTAACCCAAACCACAATAGGGAAATCAAATATTATTATTCAAAAGCAAATAAACGATTACAACTCGCACACTGAAGAGGTATTACATTAAATAAGACACAAATACTCACATTAGCGCATATTTAAGTTGGTGGTGGTTTTCGTTAGGGGTTTGGAAGAGTTTGTTGATGATTGGGATGGTTGGGTGGTGGTTGGAAGGCGTGGCAATTATAACAGGGAAGGGATTTTGGGTGGTTGTCTTGAGGGTCGTGGCTAAGGTGAAATGGATGGACAGTGATATGACAACAAGGGGAAGGGCTTGTGCGGCTGCGACGGTGATGTTGAATGGCAGGATAGGGGTAAAACAACAAAAGGAAGTATTGGCGGGCTGTGGCAACAAAGGTGGGGATCTTGGACAGCGATGGGCAACGAAAGGGAAGGGCGGTGGATTGCAGGACAACAGAGGGAAGGGGGGGTTGTACATGGACTGCAGAAGAGAGGGGGATGGCTTGAAAGTTTGCGGAGTTGGTTCAGGATAAATATCCTCGCGGGATCGTAATGCAACAAGAGAACCACTCGATCTTTGAGGGACGATCACTACCTTGAACGAGTTACAATTAGAGCATCTTCTCGTCTTTGGATACAACCATCAGAAGGGAAAACATCTTAGAGGCCACTATTTGATATTAAAAACATTAAAAATCCCCCCTCTAAACAAGCACACATGTCATATATATAATAGAAGCTAGTAGATAGTAATAGAAAGTCATAGAAAAGGAAAGCAAATAAAAAGGAAATGTAATATAATAGGAAAAGGCTAGGATAAGGAAGGGAGGTGTGCAAGGAAAGTGATAGAATGGGAAAAGATCAACTAGCAAAGCGACAAGTGCCGGACGTGATACTGTAGCAACTATAGTATGACAACCTTGTTAAGCTCCTGCATCAATTAACCAATGTTATCACGAGATAAAATGATAGGTTTATGCCGATTCAAGTATCTGAAATCTGCGTATGAAAAATGCTATTATAAATAATGATGCCACTTTTAAAGTTAAAGTTGTATTTGAACATAGAGAAATGCTATGAGAGTATAATGTGATGGGGGAATATTATAAAGACTTAAAAGGTAAATTGTATACAAATGTAACTAGACTGTTGATATTATATTTATTCTAGAGTCGGGGATTAAAAAAGCCTTTCATAGCAAGCTAATTTTCTCGAAAAGTATAATGTTATGATGACATGTGAAAAAATTAGAAGTTTTGTGGAGAAATTATGATGAATTATTTATTGAATGGTTATACTAGAGAAATGGTTAGAGTGATAGTTATTCAAAATAAAGTAAAGGGAAGTAGACTTGTGTAATTCAAACATTTACAACAAACGGTAGAACATGTATTCAATAGATAGTAGATAAAATTATTGTTAAAGAATTAGAAGAATTGGTAAACTTAAGATAACATAGCTATTAATTGTTCAAATTAATTTATGAAGAATAGATTTTGGAATTCATAAGGCTGTTCTTAAAGTTGGGATTAGGCTTAATGATGATGAGGTATAGTAATATCAGCAACAATAATAACTAAAGATTAACATCTAATAGGTTTATGTGATTTAAAGCTTTAGATGAGTAAATCATGATTTAAAGGGTCTATGTTTTATGTAGCTAGGCATATTTTTGAAATTTTTCTGCTAAACCCTTAAATAGTTGTGTAACTATGTTTGCCCTCATTTGAAATTATAATTCCACCACCACGTAACATATTTTTCAGTCCATTTTTGTATGACTAGTGCTTTTATGTATGTGGTTCTTTTTTTTTCTTAAAATTATTGATTAACATTCTGCGTGGTTCGTGTTTATTTTTGCTGTCTTTATTTTTGCTCTGTCATGCATATGCATTTGCTTATTTTTCTTTGGTTTAGGTGATTTGGAATGTTGTGAGGTGAAAGTGGTAGATTTTTTTGTGACGGTTATTGTGTTTTTTATATATCTGTATGCAGATGTCCTCTTTATTTATTTATTTATTTATTGTCCTTTAGGTCATTTAGAATTGGTATTTACTGAAATTTATGTCTTGGCGATCAAACCTTTTCTTTCCCTTGCATAATGCATTTATGTCCGCAGATAGAAATATAGCTAGTGCTGCATGTTGTTACAAAGGGGGTAAATTTGCTTATCCTGACTTGATCCTAAACATTTTTTCTATTTGCATTCACCCAGTCTTTTATTCAGAAAATTGTCCCATGCCAACTATTTAAAAAATATTTCATAAACTGCCTGGATTGTATTTAGTTCAAAGGCTGAAGGCAAATTTATTCTGATATTATTTGAAAGCTAAGCAGATACTGTGAAAATGGTGATATTGTTGAAGTTTACTCACACGAGGGAGATTCACAAGCATTAGCAGAGAGTTCAAATGATGCAAGTACATGTAAAACGTTAGAAGTTCTAAAAGTTTTTGAAGAATACATTGAAGATTCTATCCTTAAACAACGTATGAGAAGAAAACTGAGATATAATTGTGAATTGAATAATAGAAAATACTAAATCTTTTGACTGGTTTGGGGGAAAGGGTGGAGAGCGGCTCTACAAGATTGCTGAAATTTATCTTTTGGTCATAAATTTTTGGGTTCAGAGGGAGATAACAAGATAATGGTGGGAAATAAAATCTTCAATCTTTATTGGCTTCTAAACAGAAAACTCAACTTTTGAGGAATAAAACCAACAAATATCTCAGGGTCAGTCTGTCTAATTTTAAACCTCTTTGGATTATCCCACAATTTCTCATGTTGAATATATTAGGAGTATTGATTTTATGCAGAAAGAACATTCTGAAAGCGTTTTATTTGTTCCATCATCTATTCTTTTGCAGGTTGGCCAGAAATTTTCACAGCCACCTGCTGATGATATTTATTACAGGCGAGCTAGAAATATGCTTACTAGTCTGGGCTTAGAGAACTATGAGAAGAACTTCAAGAAAGGCCTGCTCACTGATAACACTTTACCTCTTCTTACAGACAGGCAAATATACTAGCTTCCCTTGGCTGTTCTACAATATACTGTTTGCTTATGGCCCTTTAGGGATCACATTTATTTTTCATTTTTTATTTTTTATTTTTATTTTGTTTTGTTTATATTTAAATTTGAAATAAAATATATTTGGCTATTTGATTAAAGTGTGGTTGTTTTTAAAAACACTCAAAACACTTGAAAGTTATTTTTGAGTGTCTTCAAAAACATGTTAATTTATTTTTAGAAATAAAAAATAAAAAATTGTAGAAACAGGTTTTTAAAAATAAAAGATAAAATTTATCACAAACAAAACCGTAGTTATTGAGTTGCTTCTGTTTACATTTTTTTTTGCCTTTGTTGCACCAGTGCTCTTAGAGATGTTAAGATCCCTCCTGGGCCAAGGCTTCTCATTCTTGATCACATCCAGAGGTGTGTAATGAACTGATCTTAAGCTTGGATTAAACTGAGAAATGCAATTTTTAAGTTCATAATTGCTTTTTTTTTTCATTTTTCTTTATACTATTTTAGGGACTCTGAGTTGAAGAAAGAAAGGTGATGAAGTTGGAGGTTAGTAAATCAAGAATCAACTGGAACAATTATTTAGAAGTGAAAGTCAACTGGCACACAAGTAGTTGTTTTCTTAAATTATTACCATGTATGACTTCCTCTTGAGACTTGTTTTATTGTACCCAAATTTATTTAAAGCAATTGAGAAAAAAAAAAAAACTTGTCCAAAAAAAGAGATACAATTTCCCAACTCAAAATTGATAATGATGAGTTTTTTGGTCATTGAATTTAGTTTAAGATGAATGAAATATATCACTAATCAATTAAATTTTATATGACACTCATTTCAACACAAATTCAGTCTATAGAACTCTTCTGATAACTCTTTAATTTGGTTGAATTTAAGCTATTGGCTTGAGATTGGAGAAGATCAAATAGAATTCCATTGCTTGTAGTTTTAAAGAGAGTTTAGATCTATGCTTTTGTACAGTTGGTATTTTACTTATGATTTCTTCTGTTATAGGCGGTGTTTGGCTGCAACCTAGTTTTACGTTAAATAGAATTTATCAAATCTTGTGCGACAGGCAAGGAGCTCGCAAGCAACAATGGAGCTTAAATTCTCCTCGCAATTGGATTTTAGTAAATTCAAATTTACTTCATAAAAGAATTGGAACACGAGAAATTTTGATTTAACGGAGCGTGAATTTAATTTTTTTTTTTTTTTTTTTTGTGTGTTTGGTTAGATTTAACTTAAATTCATGTCTGAATCCTGTTAAAACTATGCTACCAAACACCTCCATAGGTGTTCTTTTTTTATTTTTATTTTTTCAGTTTTAGTTTAGGCAGAGTAATATCAAGTCAAATCTATTCAGATAAATATATCATATTAAATCTGATTAGGCAAATTTTAGGATGAACCATTTTATTTAATTTGAATTGGCCATATCAATAGGGGTTGTGCATTCCCAACAAATCAAAAGTGGCTCTTTTTAGTTTTCATTCTTCCAGGGAGATGAGATTTTAGGGCAAATATCATGCTAGTCTTAAAAACTGTGCTTCGCAATATTTAGGGTTTTAAATTCCTCACTGCAATTCTTTTGAAGAAGATTTACGTACATTACACTCAATTTTTAGATATTTACATGTCTAACACTTAAACTTCATTTTTTATACATCACCTTAACTATGCATAAAAATGTATATTTCACTTTTTAAAAGTTAAAAGTGGTATTTTTTATGTGATATGAAAGATTTGGGTGTTAGAAATGTAAAAAATTAAAATTTAGGTGTTCGGTATATAAATAAGTAGGAATTGAGTGGTATGTACGTGAATGCCTTCTTTTTATTAGATCAAATGTTCACATTTAAGGTTTTAAATTCTTCACTTAATCTCTCTTTACTCGCTCAAATTTGCTTTATTTATGTTTTTGAAGTCTTCAATTCTTTTTAGGGAAATTTACTTACCACACAGTTCTTATGTATTTATATGGCTGAACCCAAAGTTTGATATTTACATTTAAGACACCTTGATGTCATAAACCTATGCATTAAAATGTGTTCTTTAATTCTAAAAAGATAGTAATGATGATATTTTTGATGTTATGTTAAATATTTTAGTCATATGCATGTGAATATGAACGGTTAGGTGTTATGTATGTAAATATATAAAAATTGTGTGGTACGAATGTAAATGCTCCTCCTTTTTATTAGCTCAAATATTCTCTAGATCCACTATAATAGAATAGTAGAGTAACTGAAAAATGAGGCTTAAGAAGCCCCGCAAAACCCCTTGTACAATCTATAGGTAAGTAATACCCCAAAGGAAGCTTAAGTGGCCTCACAATATATGTATTAAGACACCAATCTATGCCTCTAAAACTTAGTAGTTCTTGTGATAGCAAGTCTACTATAAATGCTCTTTAAGCTTGTTAGAGGTAAGCACTAAAATGTTAATGGTCATTGTAGATAATGGGTTAGAAACCATCTTGTAAGTTTATGAAACTATATAGAGGCCTCTAGGTAGTGTCCAGTTTAATTGTATGGTTGAGATTTTAAAATGATTATATTATATTATATTTTATATATATATGTATGTATATATATACACATACATATATATATATATATATATAT